CCAAGCTTACTGAGAAATTTAATGTAGCGCTGTTGGAAGATAAAGATTACCAGTGCCCAGTTTGTCATGAACCATTCATAGAGGTAAAACGTTTAATAATTTTTCAAGAAATATAATACATGTATTATGTAATAATGATACAATTAAAAATATAACTAATTTTAAAGAACCTCATTGTCATAAGAATACAACTTATCATTTTAATTATTGTATTTAATATTAATTTTTTTTATTTAGCCAGCATTGCTTAATTGCTCCCACATGTTTTGTACTTGGTGCCTTGAAAATTGTTTAAAGGAAAATAATCACTGTCCGTTATGTCGAGTACCTATGACCCATGCTGTACACTGTTTGAGCATGAAAAATTTCATTGAAAAAAGAATGGAACTCATGCCAGCTACAATCAGATTAGAGCGCAAGAATTTAGAAGAAGGCCGAAGGGCAAAACATATATGTAATGCGTTTATACCGTACTTGAATATATTCAATTGTTAAAAAATTCCTTTATTATTTCAGTTAAACAAAGCCATGAAGAAATTTTTCAACTTTACCTTAGGTATTCAAACGATGCAAGCCAGTCATCAAATAATTAAAGCTGTGAATTGATAAATTTATTTTAATCCCGCTATATTAATTTGTGCGACATATTTTGAATTATTACTATACTTGTAACAAAATTAGCAATTTGATTGCATCATCCTTTATGGTTAAATATCAATAATATCATATTAGAGGTTGTGGGCCACATTACAAAATTGCTTATATTTTCTAAAAATAATATTTTAATTGATTGTTTAAATATGTATATAAAAATTAACTAAGCTTAGTGTGTTATAGTCTACAATGTACAATTTTTGATAATATGTAATATTTATTTGTATAGAATATTCAAAATTCCAAACAATTTTTTGTATGTATATTTATAACTATTTTAATAAAATAATGAAATAGAGATAAAAAGTAAAAATGTGTGTTTTTCTATAGTGTAATTACCAATATTAAGACTAAAAATCGTGAAAGATGAGGAATAAAAATTTATAAAATTACAAATATTTAAATAATGTATCTAATTAGTGACAATTACAAATTATACCATTTATATAAAAAAAATTTTAGCATATGACTATTAATGTAAGTTTTCACAAATTAACAGAAATATTTTGGTTGTATAATAAGCTTAAATTGAAAAAGTGTGCATACTATATTAATGTTTTCCATACATAGAATATAACATGTTGAATAGCACGAGTCCAGGTGTAAGTTTAGTTTACTAGACAGTTAGAAAATGAATGTTCTTATTTCAAATAATTTTAGATAAGGTTGATATTATGTTTTCATAGATGTTTATAACTTATTCAATATTAATTTCTGAGGGCATTTTTAGAAAACAAGATTTTTCAGTTATTTATTTTTATTTATTTTTTGATATTAAGTAAACAACACGCTTTAAAGCAGGTGTGGCTCCAGGAGGAACCAATTAGCCTTCCCTGCCAATCCCATATTTCTAAAAATTGTGAATAATAAATGTACCTAAATTCAATTTACTTAGCATTTATTTATTTACACGTTTTTGGGGGTAATTTATTTTATCACTATGTTTCTTTTTCTTTCAGTAAGTACTTCTCTTTATTTTTCACTCATGTTTGTAAACTTTAGTTGGCATATTTATAATTTCGAACATGGTAATAAGTAATAACACATTGTTTATTGCACAATAGACAAATTTAAATATTATAATTTATAAAATATGAAATATAATTTAATAAGCGACAGTCGATAACGAAATGAAACAAATAATGAATACGCGATTATGAGATAGCAATCATTTTGCATTGAGTACACGAAATGAAGTAGGTAACCGGTCGGCACGACAACGCTGGATTCCAGATTTTATTATCATTTCTCATTACAAAGTTTGCAAGTTTCTTTTAATAACTTAATTTCCAACCTTATGATTTCGTTGATTTTTGCAAAAGGATCATCTGCATAATCTTTCTGATTTTTATACATTTATTAGGTATTAATTGTTTCTGTTGATAATTAGTTAAAAAACACCAAAATGTACCCTGTTTAAATAATAAATAGGCAACTCCTGCTTCGAGATAATCTACAGTTTCGTGCCACCGCTATATTTTATTCAATTAGCTTGCGCCACGACCGTCGCAGCTGGATTTTAAATCTTTTATGATTAAAACTTAAATATTGTAAATCGTAATTTTTCTTCATATTTAATTCAACTATAATATGGAACAGGGAAGGTGCTATACATATGTTCAAAAACATTTTACTCATCAAATTTTTCAACTGTCATTAGTTTTTTGAATTCTTCATTTATAAATATGATATGTGTAATTACTAATTTAAGTTAAAAAAAGGTATGGGATTAGAAAAATTAATTAGGTAGAAATTATTATTAATCCATTATCTTTGACTCCAGTTAAACCTGTTTGTGTACCAGTATACCTAAGTGTATAATGCTACAGGTTGATTTTACCAAGATTATCAACAACTAATTTCATGTTATATCTAGACGAAAGAGGGATGGTGCACGAAGTATCTAAGAACAAAGGATTAATAGACGTATAGGTATAGAACAATACATATATTAATGTGTCGATGTCGCTCTTGTAATGATGAGACAGTAGATGATATCATCCACAATACCGTTATTCAATGTTCATGCATCACAAATTTCAAAATTCATTTATACATAACAATATTACAATCCTTTATAATTTGAAGACTAAAAATAAGTAATTATATTTTGTGTACGGTACTATCTACCAAAATGCCATTCTATTGTCAGGCGTCATTTTGAAGTATTAATTTCCCTGCTAAATTGATTTTAAACCTAGAGTCCAAAAGTTTTAAAATTTACTTTTTATAGTTTAGCGGCATATGGGATGCCCCCAAACGTTTACTGCCTTTGAAAGTTTTCTTAAAACCTTTTAATCAAATCCGGCCCTGCTGATACTTGATACTAAAAACTAAATCACTGAAAAAGGGCACAATAATCAAATGTGAATGTTTATATTATAGGTACAATAAAATAATTTAATTATATTAATATTTTTTTCTTATTCGTATTAAATTAGCACCAACCCAGTATTATAGGCATGTGTTAAATTTACATTTGATAAATTTTAATTTATCCAGGTAATATTAATAGTTGAAAAAAAATATACGATTTCTGCAAATAATACATAAGTAACCATATTCGATTATCAGCAATCACTAATCAGTATAAGTGAGGCCTACTCTACAATATGATTATGAAATTAGTATTATTTTATTTTTAATATTAAACTAGAACCAAGTTATAAAAACAATACATTCATAACATTTTTAATAAATATATATATAAAATAACATGTGAATAATACTTACCACAATGCCTAGAAGGTTTTTGTAATACTTAATGTCAAACAAGTAGTACTGAATTAGTATTCATATTTTGAACATAGAATTTAATGATATTACCTCAACATTACCACCCAGCTATACAAAAAACGATATAAACAATAGGTATATCAGAAGAAAAAATATTTTAAATAAACACACATTATTGTGAAATCAATACACATTAATCGTTCAGCTCGGAATCTAAAATATCATTACAAACATTTACAAACGACTTACAAACGTATGTGATAAAAAAAATTCGAAAATTTGTGGCATTTCCCCCCCCCCCCCCATCGGTTTTTTTTATTTTGTAGCAAAACCAATTCTTTACAAACGAAATAAATATCTTTACAAACGTTTACAAACGATTTACAAACGTATGTGATAAACAAAAATTCAAAATGCCTATTTAGGGGGGCTGGGGAAATGGACCTTGAGATATTATTTATTGATTATTGTTGCTCAGCGTATATATTGGTTATACCAATAACAGGCAATTGATTATTATTATTTTATCATACCTACTTTGTTAGGGGTAGGAACAACGGGACCGTAATATTGTTATTAATTATTACTTTATATATATTATTTATAGGGAATACATATACGACTATTACTATTTATTATTTCGAGTTACATATAACTCAATAGTTATTGAACCTCAAGTTCAAGTCACACTCACACACTTACCACACACACACACCCTCGGGATTTGCTCGGCGAACCTACTGTCCACCTCCCGTAGAATGCAACACACATAAAATACACTGTTTGGTCTGTGTGTGTGTGTTAATGTACGTAGCGATTTCGGCGACAGGACCTATATTATTGTTAGTACTCAGCATGTCCAACTGTTAGATGTATAATATTGCTACCTATCTCAAATTTAATGTGTGCACAACTGTTGAACTAAAGCTATGTAATACATAATAATATGTAGGAGTTTATAAATATTTGAGATTTTATTCCATGTGAGGTGAATAATTATTCTAATTCAGAAATTCGTATTGAATGTTTTGCTACAAAGAAATAAAGAACAAATAATTTTGGCCCAAGTAAAAAAAAATCTTCCGTAAATTCTTTAGTGATTTTCATATAAATATTATTTAATGATATTTTGAAGGTTACGCCTTTAAATTGTATACACAAAAACTGATGTTTATAAATTAAAAGTTATAGCTATGTATTAACTTTGGTGTCAATAAAATAACTCCGTAATTCATAACACAAAACAGAGTTAAAATATATTGTTTTTTTCGTATATTCACAGTTATTTGACTGTATACACATATGTATATGTGTAATGTGTATGTAATATGTATATGTAAATGTAAATGTATATGTATATTTAAACATGTGAATATTATAATATTATGGCAGTAATGTCATTAAAATGGAATAAAATCATTACACAAGAGATTTGTAATAAAGAATATACGGATATGTCACTCAAAAAATGGATGATTCTGTTTTAAATATGACTTATACCTAATATTATTATCAATCTAAACAGTCTAAACTAGCCGTTATTATTGTATAAAGATATAAGATATATCGAACTTTAAATCTGCGAGTATAAGTGTAATGCAATGTGCCAATGTAGATATGATTAAAGAAAAAACATTTCTTGTACTTCCAACATCATTAAGTATTGATTTACAACAACTAAGACTTATATAAAAAAAACTGACAATATTATCATATTGTTTAAGAATCAACAATTATTTGTCTATGCTCCAACTGAATTTATTTTTACCATTATACAGACATCTCAACAATATAACTTATATAGTTATATACATATATCCCAAGGTACTTTTTGTTGTGTCAAGGACCATAAAATAAATATAACATTTTTCACAGATCACAACTTTAAGACACCTTATTTTATTTTAAACAAAAATATTTCCTTATTCTTATCAAAATTAGTTTATTTAAGAAACTTTAACTTTAACTGCAGGTAAGTTTATTAATTTAATAAGGTATCTATTAACAAACAACTTTTTAATCCGTAGTTTCCAGTCATGGACCTATGGAGGTACTATCATAGTCCGTGATTTTTATACATATTATAAATTGTACTTGCTGGCCACAAACAGGTATAGTATAATGATAATATATCATGCGGTACCGACGATACTGTACCTATATATACGATATAAGTATATGATAACTTATGTGTATATTGATGCCAGATTTAAATAACATAATGTTTAAAATAATAAATATTTTGTGTTACTTGAACACAGAAATTTCAAATTTGAAATAGTAGATTAAAATAAAATATTATTTACTGTGTCAGTATTGAATAGAACATTTTCGTTCTCAATAAAGTTGTAATCTTAAAATGTTAACGTTGGACATGAAGATTGACAATACGACAATACGCGTACAACAATGATATATATGTAATAGTAAATTATAGACACATCAGTATCCGTAAATAATTTAGATTGGACAGGAATCAGGATTATTTTGAATTTCTTTGTTTATGATTTTCAACATTGTTATTTTTTA